GTCTGGGGACTGGGTGGGCTGGGCCACCCCACACTCCCCAGGCTTGCCCTCGTCAGGCAAACCACTTGCTGCAGCTCTCTGCCCGCCATTTCTTCAGGCCATCTGTTAGGAGAGCCACACTGACCAGCCAGGGACAATGGGGTCAGAGAAGCCTGGCTGGACTGGGCTGAGGTTAGTGAGCCTGACAGTGGCCTTGAGTAAACCATTACTCCTCTCTGCTTTGATGTCCTCACCTATGGAATGCAGAGGGCAAGACTCTCATCACAGAGCTGATGGGAGGATTATATGATCTAACGATTATGGGAGTGATGAGTACGAGCTGGCTCTCCTTGATGGGACAGCTCAACCCAGGAGGGGAGGGTGTCGTTGCTTCTTTCCATCCAAAAGGTAGGGAAAGCCCAGTGAAGAAATCTGAAAGGGAATACAATCACGTGTGTCCGCAGTGTCCCCTGATATGGCCTCTGCTCCAAGTGTGCTTTACCTCTCAGCAGGCTGTTGAACACAGCTGAAATGTCACTGTATGCTATTTATCATATACCTTTTTCCCAATACAACATCCTAGATCCCCACATCCCCCAAACACAGTGTCAATACTGTCATGCAGGCTTTGGAGTCAAACTGACTTAAAATACCAAGATGGCCCAAAAGGCTTAGTGCAGTTTTAAGCTTTAATAACCTCAGAAGTATAAAACTGCAAACTTACAAGAGACACCATTTGAAAGTTTAATTATTTAAATTTCCTTTTTTGCCCTTTGGAGATGGCAAAACTTGACAGAAAAAAATTAAAGTTATCCAAAATTCACGATGAAATTAGCATAAAGAAAATATAAGGAATGAAACTTTCAAATTATGTTTCTTATAAATTTGTAGTTTTATACTTTATAACTTCTGAAGTTATTAAAGCTGAAAATGGAGACTTATGGGTCATGGTCATATTGACAGCTGTGAGCTCTTAGTGGGCTACTGAACCTCTCCAAGCTTCAATCCCTCATCTGTAAAATGGGTATAACTACAGTATCATGGCACCTGCACATTACAAGCCTTCAGTAAATGCAAGTCGTTATGATTATTGCTGTCACTGTTGTTAAAGGCAGTGTGAAATTACATTGTATGAAACCCAACTATACTTGGTTCATTCAGTTCCTTATTCTCGAATATTTGCGTGTTTCCAGTTTTCCAGTGTTAAACACCATAGTGAGAGGGACATCCTGAAAGCTAAAGCCTTTTCCACCTTTTTATTCCTCCCCCTGTTTACTTGTGAAGAATTGAGGCCCAGAGAGGGGTTGTGTCCTACCTAAGGTCACTCAGGAACTGGGGCCTCAAACTCAGTTTTCAGCTCCTAACCCAGAGCTCTGCTCACTGTCCAGTACTGTTTCTACTTCTTATGAGGGTCCCCATATATTCCTGCACCCCACTCCCAGTTGGGCCCATCAGGTCTGGGGTGGTGGAGCTCTGGACACCCATGCTCTCCAGCCTGGCTTCCCTGGAAGACAGTGTTCCCTCCATGCATGGTGGCATGAACGCTGGCCTGCAGAATCCTGTTTGTCCCTTGTGTATTATTTTTAGTTCCTTTGGGTTTCCTGTAGGGATCCAGTCCAGCCTCCAGGGCCTCTGGGCTGGAAGCTGTGGCCAGAGTCATTTGGCAGGGGCCAGGGGATCCTGTAGACATTCTCTTCTGGAGCCTGAAACCCCAGAGCTCAAGGTTCAGCTCTGGGGAAGCAGGGGGTAGGGAGCGAGGATCCCCCTAGTCACAGAGCCAGGCTGAGATCCAGTGCATCTTGGACTCAGCCTGGGCTGGGGTTGGGGGCTGGCTGGCCTAGGCCTGTGACACAGTGGCTGGGGCCTGTTGGGAGCTGGCAGTCTCTGACCTTGTTGGCCTCGGGCCTGGCCCAGAATAGCTGTGGGGCTGAGCTGGGCCTGGGTGAGACCTGTGTGTTCATCAGCATGTGTTTATGTCCCAGGGCACTCAAGTACGTGGGAATACACATGCACTCTGCACTGGCCTCTCTGCATGCCTGGGTCTCTCAGTGCACACTCCATGGAGCAGTGTGAGTCTGCACACACGCACGTGTACAGAGCTGCCACCCAAGTTATGCAATATGGAGGCCCTGCCAGTGGCTTCAAGAGCAGATGGGTCCGTGTGACACAGGTAAGTGTACACACCACCATATTCCTGTGACTGTGGAGTCATGTATGTGTGCAGGGGGTGTAGGAGAGGTGCAGGTGGGTGTGTGTACATCTGTGGTGGGGTTGGGTAAGGGCCCTGGGCTGTACTGTAGGGGGTCAAGGGCAGGTGGACCAAGCGGAGGCTGTCTTTTGGGCACTACCGGGCACTACAAATTACCAACAACGCTGGGAGAGAGGCTGGGCAGGTTTTGCCCCATTTATCAGGTGTAAAACGGCTTGGCAATGGCTGTGACGCTACCCAGTGAGTGGGGAATGAGTGAGGGAAGACCAGCCCTCAGCCTTCCAATTCCCCTAGATGTGGCTGAACAGGAAATCTAGGCTCTGGGGAGGAAGTCAACAAGGCGCTTCTCTTCCTGCTTGAGCCCAGGCAGCACTGCCTTCCCTCAGCTACAGGTACAGATAAGGAAACTGAGGCCCAGAGAGGGGGAAGGGCTGGCCCAGAGACACCCAGCACAAGATTAGATCCCTCCTGCTCAGGGCCTGGCCTGCCTGCCCTGTTTGTTGCCAAGTGGTGGGAGCATACGCTCCTGGATCACCTTGCTCTCTCCACCTGTGGCTATGGCCACTCTTCAGCCCTTGGCCCTTCCTTCCAAGGCCCAGAGACCTCTTGTCTGCCCACCGCAATGTGCCAGGCCACTCACAAACCCGCCAAGACCCTGCTCATCTGTGAAGGAATGCTTGCAACCCGCCATGTACTCCACTGGGGATCTCTCTTCAGCCTGGCAGGACGGGGCATGCCTCCCACCAGCTCAGACTTGAGTAGAGCATTGGTGGGCCATCCTTTCTGCATTTCCACTGCCTGTCTCTGGATGGGGCCTCTCGGCCTCAGTGTTGTCAGCCGTGAAAGGGGCAGTGACGTGGGTCATTCCCTGGAATCCGCGTGCCTCAGTAAGTGAATGGAGAACCGGAGGCAGGCAGCAGACTCCTTTGTTACAGGCTTGAACCGTGGGCCCTCCCCCTGCCGGGAGGTCCGCTGGAACAAGGCTTCCCCGCCACCTTTGCCAAGGTCGGAGGCCCTGGCGCGCAGACAACCGCTGGCTTCATGCTCTACTGGGCCATGTTGAGACTCAGGAGTGCGGGCAGGGGACTTCCCCAAGGTCACTCAGGAGTGGCCGCTGGCCACGGACACCCTGCCCACCGCGGGTAGCCTCGGTTTACCCTACTCTCGGCCACAGGTTTCATGAACCCACCTGGTGCTCCTCTTGTGCCGGCCCCTGTGACTGGTGCGGGCGGAGGAAGGTTACCGGGCTCTACCTAGGCCTGCAGAGAGTCAGAATGAGGGCGGAAGGGAGGGGAGGGGAGAGGGATTGGAAAAGACCCCGCCGGGACGAGGAAACCAAGACTGCTTCCTAGACACACCCAGGCTCTCCTGGGCGTGAGCAAGAGCGTGTGCGTGTGTGTGTTGGGGGGAGCGAAGGGCGGGTCAAGCTCCCACCTCCTCTCCTCCTTCTCCCAGCCCCCCACCGTGTCCCAGGAGACTTCAGACCCCGGAAGACAGCAGACTGAGACTTCAGGAGAGCCCTAGTGCACGGGGCAGATGGACGCCAAGCCCCGCCTACTTCCAGGCAGGCCCCCGCCCTTGACTCGGAGCGGTACCCGGAGGCGAGGCGGGGACGGGGGGTGGGGGTGGAGTGGCCTTCGGGGTGGGGCCTGCAGGGGCGGGGCCGACGTGGGGCGGGCGTCCGCGAGAGAGCTACCGCGGCGGCGGCTTTCCCGGCATGGGACCCCGCGCCGCACAGGTAAGGGAGGGCTGGAGGTCTCGCGTCTGGGGTAGAGCCCTTCTGCTCCCCGCCCCTCCTCGCTCCAGGTGGGACTTTAGTCTCCGCGTCCCCTCGGGCCGCCGCGCGCCGCCCCTCCACGACTCCTCGGTCCCTGGCAGCATTCACACCCGGGCCGTCCGAGTTTGTCCGAAGGTCCCTCCCTCCCAGCGGGGTTCAGCTTCGTCCTCCCTGCCCCTTGGTCACCCTGTCACCACGGGACAGCCTCCCTGGGCCCGTGCCTGACATGAGGGCAGACAAACACGTGGGCAGTGCCCAGGGGCTTGGCCTGGGCTGTGGGGTGATCCCGCGGGGCCTCAGCCAGCCTGAGAGACTGCCAGGAGGAGGTGACGCCGGCTAGTATTGCTTGCAGTGAGAAGGCATGGGCAAATGCCTGGTGGTGGGAAGTGGATCCCATGTTTGGGAAATTCCAGTGACTACTTAGAAAGAGGAAGGAAAGCTGTGAAAAAAGCGACCAGAGAGATTGGGAAGGTGGGGGGTGGGGTCTAGGACAAGAAGCCTGGAGCCACGGAAGGGCAGAGGAAGGGTGCCGGGGTAGGGTGGGGGGAGAGGCCCAGGTGGAGGCTGGGACCCGTCAGCTGTGACAGTTCAGCGCCCCCTCCCTTGGGCAGCCCCTCCCTCCTCTGCCTACCACTGAGTTTGCTGGATGATCAAAGGGGTTCCAAGGCAGCCCAGGAAAAAGCCTCCACAGCAAGCAGCACTTCCTTGCCTGTCCAGACCAGGAAATAACAGAGTGAGTACCATGACAGGGTGTGGCCCAGGGGCCTGAAGGGCCAGGCCTTGGAGGAGGCAAGGGAGAGAGGGACCCAGCGTGGGCAGAGGCCTAGAATGCAAGAGAGAGAAAGAGAGAGAGCGCGAGAGAGAGCGCGTGAGAGAGAGAGCAGGTCTGGCGGCTGGTTAGATTGCCACGGGGACTGGCAGCTGACTCACCTGGACACGCCAAGACTAGCCAGTCTGTCCTCACCCCGCCCCAGGGTGAACATGAAGCCTGCCTGGGAAGCCTAGGTACTTGCTGTGGCAGCCTTTCAGGTGAGCTTGGTGGGACTGGGAGCCAGAGGCCTGGGTCTGAGCCCTGTACACGCTCTACAGTTAGTGTTTCTGGGCCCTCCCATGCCCTTCTGGGCCTCAGTTTCCCCATATGTACAGCATGTGCAGTCTACTACTAAGGAACCTTCGAGCTGGATGGAGTGAGAGCGTGAGGAAGCCATGCCCTTAACCAGAGAGGAGTGGGTTGGAGGTGGGACTGGGGTTTGAAAGGGGAGACTTCTGCCGGGTCCCTGTGGTGTTAGGTTCAGCACCTCTTCCTCCTCCCTCGCCAGTATACACACTCAGGCGCACTCACGCCTGGCCTGGCCCCTGCCCTCACACTCTCCTCACTGCCTGCGGGATGAAGCCCCAGAACTCCCTAGCCTGGGAGCAGAGGCTCTCGGGGCCAACCATACCAGATGTCTAGCCTCAACTGCAGTCTTCTCCCCACCCGCCGTCTCACCAGCCATGTTTAACCTCTGGCCTTTCCTCTGGGCAGTGCGACTCGGTTTCCTAGGGTTAGAGATCCTTTTGGGGCCACAGACCTGGCCAGTCTGTGTTGCCAGCGTTGTCAGTTTGTGTCGGTAAGACTCATCGTCAGGGGCCCCAGGCTGCACTGAGAGATAAGGGAGACTGAAGAGCAGGTCCCCATACCCAGAGGAGCTCCCCTCCACCGGTTTATGCTTTCTAGGGAGGACTAAAATAGTTTGAAAAGCTGTGATTTAGTCAGACCTTCATTTCACAGAGGAGGTGATTGAAGCCCAGAGAAGAGCAGGGCTCTGGATAAGCTGGGGCATGGCCAGGGCCGAATAGCTGGGCAGAGGTCAGAAGGGGGTCCTGTGGGAGCTACTGAGGTGTGAGCCATGGGTCCAGGGTAGGGGAGCTTCTGCCAGCCCCATGGGGGCAAGGGGAGGAAGCCTAAGGGGGAGAGGAGTGCCCTGGGTGTGGCATTGGTTGGGGTGGGCCCCAGGTAAGTGTCGGGGATCTGATGTGCAAGGCCTCCCAACAGTGAGTTATCTGCTGCAGGTCCCCAGCTCACCCTGATCTGGTTCCTAGTCTGTACCTCCCATCCTGGCTGCACCCTCCCCCCTCCACCTTTAGCTGGTGTCCTCACCTCTCAGCTCAGACCCCGACAGACTGCCAGCTGAGGGTGGAAAGGTCACTTCCCAAAGGGTCTTTCCATTCCACCAGTTTCTGGAGATATGGGTGAGGGTCAGATGGGCCCAGGCCGCACTTGCTGTACCCCTGACTCCTTGGCTGTGTTGTCCTGGTATTCTGAGCTGACTTGGAGCAACCCTACCCCAGTCCTCCACAGGGGGCTGGGGCTGCTGCAGGGGGCCAGCAGAAAGAGAAGCCTGCAGTTGGGTGTCCAGCCATTTCTCCTTCCTGCTTCTCTCTCCCAAGGCCTCGCCCTCCTGAAGCAACAACAGCAGGAAAGGTGGGGCAGGAATGTCCTGGGCCTGGGCCCTTGGCCAGAGATCTGAGGCACTCATCTCATTCTGCCCCAGAGCCAATTCTCTGGGAATTGTAGGCTCTGTCAGGAGCCTGGAATGCCCTTTGGTGTCTTTGGGCTTGGGTGGGGAGGGATGAGACCCCTTCTCATTTGATCCTTTGGGTCTGTCTGTATCTCCTCATATTATGTCTACAGCCCCACCGAGGTCAACCAACTCAGAGCCTCAGAGTGTCAGAGTCGGAGAGAGGCCGAGTCTGAGGGTCTGGGGTTAAAAGACTCTCTAATTCTCAACCCTGAGACGTACAGTCACGTAATCTGGGCAGATGACCTTCTTTGCCAGGTCTGGTAGGAGAGGGCTGTGTCTGATTGGAGGATGCAGCCTGGCTATGGGGATGGGTTCGAACCCAGGCCCCTTGCTCCCCCTCCCTCCAGTCAGGAGGCTGCGTTCTCAGGTGATCCTGCTTTCTTGGAGGGTCCCACTCTCCAGGGAAGGAGGTCCAAAGACCTGCCCACCCCCATGGCCCCCACCTCTGGAGTAGAACCCGTCCTGCAGCTTGCAGAGGGGCATGAAGTGTCTGGCTCCTGCCCACACTCACCTCACCCTCTCATGGCTTGGAATCATCTCCTCTGAAACTGTCACCAAGTCCATGTCCCCAGGTCTGACTTTGAATCCCATCACTCCCCCACTCTGAGGCCCTCCATGGCTTCTCTGTTACCCACTTAGGGAGCTCTTGGTGGGCCACCTGCAGAGCCTGGGCCTTCATGCCCATGAGCCTTTGCTCTCATGGTTCCCCCACCTGCATGCCTTGTCCTCTTCTCTGCCTCTTTATTTCTTGCCCATCCTTCATGGCTCCAGCAGGATATTTCCCACTTCTCCCAGACCCCTCCTACATAGCCCTATTGGGTGACAGGGAGTCCTGAGCCATGGCCTTGAGATAAAGGCTGTGCTCCTCCGAGAGTATGTCCTTGTTTCCAGAGAGTCAGTGGAGAGAGGACTAGGTTGGAGCACTACTAGATGTTACTCTGAGCTCTTGGGAGCCATGGTGGGTGTTTGAGCAGAGGAATGAGCAGGCCAGAGGGCTTAAGGAGCATCTGCCTTTTGGGTAAAAAATAGATGCTTCCCTTGCAGTTCTGAGTCCTCTTTCCCACTCCTTCAGGCTCCCCTCAGCTGGGCCCAAGTGGAGCATGAGCAGGGGTCACTGGCCAGTTCAGAAACTCCCCTTTGGGGTGACATGGGCTCCTTGCTCAGTTCTGAGGTAGGGTGGTCATGGGCCTTTTGGGCATATAGCCTGAGAGGGCACCCTGCTCCCATGGCTGCTATTCGCTCTAATCTTGCTTGGTTCTCAGGCCCTGAGTCTGGCACCCTGGCCATGTGCAGCCCTGAGGAGGCAGCCCTGCTGCGGCTGGAGGAGGTCTTCTCAGCCACACTCGCACGCATCAACAGCTTTGTCCTCCAGCCCCTTCTGGAGGCCGGTGAGTTGAGGGGAGGGTGGGGGATGCAGGAACCGTCCTAGGGACAGGAGTCCTCCCTGTTGGACCTTCTGAGCTACAGCTTTCTCAGCTGCAAATGGGAGCGGTGACATTTGGTGTGGGTGTCTTTGGATGGATCCAGGGCCCTCACCCCCAGTTGCTGGCTGCTTCCTTCTCAAAGGGACCCCAGGGAACCAGGCTGTGAACCCCATTCTAGCCCAGACCTTCTGTGAACGGAGACGATGTTCCACCCCTCCCAGGGCACAGGCCTGGATTCTCTGCCTGAATCCTCATCTTGCTTTCACCCAGGGCATGACTGGAAGGCAGGATGCCCGGTTTACAAAATGACCTTGGGCAGGTGCCTTCCTCTTGGGGGCTCTGTTGGTGCATCTGTGAATGGCAGGAGACTACAGGACCCTATGGGCTTCACATTCTGGACCTGAGGAAGCTCTGAAGCTCAGGGGGGATTCTTGTACTTGGTGGCCCTAGGTCATCAGTGCTGTCCCTGTTTAGTGAGGAGGTGGACACGTGCCCCTGTTGAATCCACAAGGGTGCTGCCCACTGCTGTAGCCTGCCCATCCCTTGCTGAGCTCAAGGGGGCACATGGGCTTCCAGTTCTGTCCCAAGGACCCCAGGGATGTGAGACCCTAGCTGCAGCTCCAGGGCTAGGGGTGCTGCTGCCCCTCCGGTGACCACCCAGGGCCCCTGCGTGCTCCCTGGAAGGTGGAGCGGCCCTGTTCCCCTCACAGTGTGCTTATGCTCCTGCCCCAGCTCCAGAGCCCTCAGATCCCTGGGGCAGAGAGTGCCTACAGCTCCTGCAGCAGCTGCACAGGAGCTCCCAGCAGCTGTGGGAGGTGACGGAGGAAAGCCTGCACTCACTGCAGGAGAGGCTGCGCCACCCGGACTCCATCAGTCTGGAATCCCTGCTGCTGCTGCACAGCGCTGACCGTGTCTTGCAAGTCCACCTGGAGTAAGATAGCCGAGGCGGGGCTGGGGCCGGCACTGGGACTCACGTGGGTCAGGGCTTTGGCAAAGGTTTGGGTTCAGCCCTGGGTTTGGGTGTTAGCCTGGTGGCAGGCTCAGGCACCCCAGATCTGAGCCTGGTGGCCTCCCAGGGAAAAGAGACTTTGAGTTAGAATTGTCTAGTTGGGTCAGTTAAGACTCAAGGTCACCAGTGCCCAGAGCCAGGCCCTCAGGGCTGCAGCCACTCAGTGGGTGGGATCTGGGGACACCAGAAGGGCAGGGGCTTGGGTCTGGAGCTGAGCGTTGGGCTTGCTGGGTGTCCCCTGTGCTACCTACAGGTACATCGGGTCCTACACAAGCTGTGTGGCAGTGCAGGCCTTTCAGAAGGTAGTAAAGAGGAGGAGGTGAGCATGGAATGCTGCAGTGGGCCTCTGAGTTGGGGGTGTCTGGGAGGGAGGGCTTGGGGAAGCCACGTCCCCAGAGCAGTGAGTGTCACGGCCCGGGACTCATCCTGAGCAATCCTGGCTCTAGCAATTGCATGCTGCTCCACACTGAAGAGAGGGAGGGAAGCCTAGTGAGGCTGTGAGCAGAATCCATATACCAACTGACGGGAGTGACCCTGGGGCGGGGAAGCATTCCTAATTGCTACTCAGGGTGGGCTTTCATCTCTGAGATACTGCTACCAAATCTCCAAGAGGGTCACTCAGCCACTGTTTTTCTGATGGGAGAGAGGTTTGGGGTCTGGGACTGTCCTGGGATCTGAGAGATTAGCCAGGGCAAGGGGGCAATGGTGGCAGGTGTGGGAACAGCGGGGGGGAGAGTGAAGGGGTGTGCGGCCCTCCCTCCACTCAGCGAGTACTGGCAGGGCCAGCGGAAGGCGCTGCAGCAGTTCCTGTCGGGCATGAGCTCAGAGGGCTCGGTGGGCACCGCGCTGGTCCAGGCTCTCCGCCAGCCACTCACCCATCATGTGCGGCAGTGCATGCTCCTCCTGCTGAGCCTCAGGGACACTGTCGGGGAGGTAGGTAGCAGGGGTGATGGGGAGTGGGGGGTAATTGCTGGTTATCAGGCCTGTCTCCCGTGGGGAAGCTGAGGGATGGGAGAAACGGGCCTCTGGCTCAGGGAACCTGCCTACTCAGGAACCCTGGTTTGAGAAGGACCTGGCCATGCCCTGGGGACATGGTCTTGTTCTGGGGGGTTTGAAGGAATATGTCCTTGCCCTGGGGTATCTGAGGTACATGGCCCTGCCCTGGTGGAGCCAGCAGAGACCCAGAGAACAGATGTAGAATCATGTACTGGGTGTGAGGACACATGGCCCAGCCCCAGCTGGGGGAGTCATCGAATGGTCCTAAATCCCCTGGAAGCATCCTCCTACTGCCAGAGGAGGGGCCGGCAGGGAGAAAAGGGAAAACTTAGACTTAGACCCAGACCTCCTGACCGGCTGGGGCCAGGCCAGGGCTGGGGCAGTCATCACAGGGTGGGAGAGGATTCTGATAATACCCCACCCCGGCTGCTCTGTCCCCCTACAGAGTCACCCCACCCGGGAGCTGTTGGTGCATGCAGCCACCATCTTTGGGAACTTGCAGTCCTTCATGAGGCAGGAGCTGGACCAGGCCATGGCCACGCAGGCCCTCTGGCACACTCTGAGCAGCCGGCTGCGGGTGAGTTCGAGGCCTGAGGGGCAGTGAGGGAAGGGGTTGCCATCCGGCATGGGCCCGTTGGGTAGCTTGAGCTGCCTGCTGCCTGCTCCATGCCCCAGCTTCCCCACCTGGGTCGGGGGGCAGTGGCTAAAGCAGGTGTCTGTGACGTTCCCCTGTCCAGCCATCCTCACCCATTTGCTGAGCACCTCCTGGGCTGGATGTGAGCTTCTGGCTCTGGGGAAGAGTGGTCAGCAGAATCGACCCTCTCTCCTGGGATGTCACTGAATGATTGCACCCCCGAGTCACTGCCCGTATTGCCCCTGCAGGAGGGAAAGTCCCCTGTGCTCTCACAGGGCATGACAGGCTTGGGGCCCAGTGCAGCAGAGAATTAGGAGGACAAGTGAAGGGAACAGGAATTGCCAGAGAGAGGCAGGGATTGTAGAACCCTGGGTGAAAGATGATGGGGGCTTGACTGGGGCCGTGGCCTGAGATGGGTTGGAGGAGGACAAAGTAAGGCTTCAAGAGAAGTTGTGCTGTCCTTCTGGGTATAGCCAGGAATGAACCCCCCCACCTTGGAGCCCCAGTGCCCATCACTGACCTGGGAGCCTCCAGGAGATGCTCAGAGTGGGGGAGGTGCCTGGGGCAGAGGCGGGCCGTGGAGTGGCCAGCAGCATCCAGGACAGAGGTCCCTGAGCCTTGCACCTCCCTCCTCGCCTCACCAGGATGTGCTCTGTACCCCCGCTCACCGACTCTTGCAAGACAGCCAGGACATACCTGTGACGGTCACCCCGCTGAGGGCAGAGCGTGTGCTGCTCTTTGATGATGCCCTTGTCCTGCTACAGGTAGGGTGGGGCTGGCCAGAGGTCGTGGGGTCACAGTGGGGGTCTGAGGGCTGGTTGAAAAAAGGAGTGGGAAAGAGACATGTGGCTGGGAGCGAGAACTTGGGCCTGGGGAGGTGATGGGGGCAGAAAGGCAGAGTGCTAGGGTGGGGGCAGCAGGTGGAGCCATCCCTGAAGGAGTATGGGCTATGGAGCAGGGCTCTTCCAGTCTCAACTCTCCACAGCTCGTATCCCTGTTAAATGTCTTCCCCTCAGTTTCCTTACCTGTAAAGTGGGACACTTGTCAGTTTGTGCTTCAGCAGATGGCAGACAACTCCTAGTTGTCTTTCTCCAACAGGAGAGGAACCTCAGACAACGGTCATAAGTGGCCCATAGTGGCTGAGGAGGGCTGCGTGAACCATTCAGGGCACATGCAAGGCTTCTAGAGAGGAGTTCCATGTAGCAGCAGTGCCCGGGCTCTCGGCCTTACAGAAGTCAGGAGGCTAGCCAGTACTAGGGTTTGGGATTTGTTATGTGGCCCATAACCTTGGCTGTGCCTAGTTCCCCCTGAAATTATATTGCCCCTGTGATAGCCAGAGCACTGTCTTCTGTATCCCCCTGGAGTGTCAGCCTGGAACTCCCCTGCAGATAGGGAGGCTGAGGCCTAGAAGGGATGCTACTTGCCCATCCAAAGCTGTGTCTCCTGAAGCCTGGTTTTGGGGTTTTGATTCAGTTTGAGTTTCCCTCCACTCCCGATTTCACCCTTTGTGCTCCAGGTATGCTGACAAGATACTGTCACTAAAAGGTGCTGAGCCCTTTCCCACCTCTGGACCTTGGCACGTCCTGTTGTCTGTGCTGGACCCTCTCTTGTCCTGGCCCGTGTCTGGCACACTCCTCCTCCCCTTCAGGCCTGGGCCTGGTGCCGCTTCCACCTGTGTCTGTTGCCAGGCGAAAGGTCACTCCGCAAAATCTTCCAGAGGAAGGGAGGTTTGGTCTGTCTCTCAGAGCAGGGATGACATTCCAAGTAGAAGGAAGAGCACATGCAAAGGTTCAGGCTGAGGAGAATTTGTGGCAAACTGGAGGAGGCCCAGGCAGTGGAGGGGAGTGGTCTGTGTGGTCTCAGGGGTCAGGCTCAGCCGTAGGGACCTTAGAGAGGTTTCCAGCAGGGGCTAACAAGATCCATGCTGCATTTCCAGAAGACCACTCTGGGGGCCCTGATGGAGCAGAATGTCGGGGGTGCGGGAGGCTTGTCCTGGGTTTCTGGCCAGGCCCTCGGGTGGGAAGGGAGGTGGAGGACCTGCCCTGGAGATGGGGAGCCGGCAGGGGTGGTGTGGGACTCAGTGCTGGGCGTGCCGCACTGAGCATGCTGGGGACACCCAGCGGTGAGCCAGCGAGCTGCTGCTTGGGGGCAAGGCCAGACCGGAGAATAGGTGAGCGTCTTGCCCACCTGTGCCCCCTCTTCTTCCAGGGCCACAGTGTCCACACCTTTGATCTGAAGCTGGTGTGGGTGGAACCTGGGCAGGACGGGTGAGCATCCCCATCCAGTGACACCCCAGGCCTTCCCTCCCTCTACCCCTTGTAACCTGCCCGCCCCAGGGCTCTGACTTGGGCCCTCCCTCGGCACCCTCCTGGACAGAGCGGGAGCCCACTCATTAGCTCCATCTGTCTAGGTGCATGTTTCACCTCCTCACGCCTGAGGAAGAGTTCTCCTTGTGCTCCAAGGACCCACAGGGCCGGGTGAGTGTGGGCGGACTGTGAGTCTGGGGAGTGGGGTCAGGGGAGTGAGGGAAGGCGACAGGAGGGTAAGGGGAGGCTCGTTGGGAATGTCAAGCCTCTGGAGTCAAGGTCAGAGTGAGTCAGGGGTCAGCCTGGGCTCAGGCATCAGAATGCCGACGAGAACACGTGTTTTTCTCTGTGAAGCCAGGGTTGGGGCCTGTTCGAAGGTTCTGTTTGGCCTCTCTGGGCAGGCCCGAAGCTGCAAACAAGTATTCGGGTCTGAATGAGGCCCCAGGGAGCAGCACGGGAGCCGTTGGAGGTCCCTGCAAGTGATAAGAGTGGGTGTGGGTAGGGTGATACCTGATGCCGCCCCAGGAGGCTTCCTAGAGGGGCTGCCTCCAGCAACAGTGGCCTGTCCTGTGTTTCCCTGTCCCCCCGCAGGTGGCCTGGCAGCGGAAGGTCACCCAGGCTGTGTGCCAGACCTTGCGTGGGAAGAAGGACTTCCCGGTGCTGGGGGCGGGCCTGGAGCCTTCTGAACCCCCCACCTGCCGCTGTGGAGCATACACCTTCCGTGCGGAGGGCCGCTTCAGCCAGGCCACCTATGAGGGCGAGTGGTACGGTGGCAGGCCCCATGGCAAGTGAGTGACCGAGGAGGCTCTGGGCCAAGCGAGGCAGGGATCCTCCTGGGAGTCTGAGGGGCAGACAGGACCCATATGGACCTAATTGCCTCGGGGCATGAACCAAAGGCTGTTACCCGCCTGTGGTGAAATCTGTTTGTCCCCCACAGTCTCTCTTAAGTCCTCTTGGCCAGGACCTGGCCCACTGTAGGTTTGTGCCAGATACAGTCTTGATGGCAGTGAGGCTACCGAGCGTGGGGCAGACATCAGGAAGCTGACCTGCAGGGCCCACGGTCACCATTCTGTTCTCAGGCGGGTGGAAGAAAACTCTCATGTCTACATAGCATTGTCTGGTGGTGGTAGAAATGTTTTGCAGACGTTCTGTCTTCATCAGTCCTTACAAGAATGCTCTGGGGGAGTGTTATCACCCCCTTTAGGTGATAGGCCCAGAGACTGGCATGACTTTCCCCAGGCCTCAGGGCAGGTTCTAGGGTGAACCTGGCCTCAGTTGCAGGTCGACACGACCCCACAGGCAGATAGGCTTTTGAAGAACATGGCCCCAACTTGTGCTACAGCTGGCGAAACCAAGGCCCAGAAAGCAGAAAGGACTCGCCAAGGTTACGCTTGCAAGCATTCCACTCGTTTCTGATACCCTGCCTGCTTCCAGAAAGGGCTTGAGGAAGCTTATGAACAAAAACACAGAAAAAGCAATGCTGTGTCAGAAGAGGAGACAAGGATGGTAGAAACCCCACTGACTAGCACTTGGCTTGAGCTTGAAGGTTAGCTCTGAGCTTCCTGTTGGTCAAGGGAAAAAGGCAACCTGGATGCTTCCAGAGCTCTCCCTGCTGGGTGTGGAGCACACTCTGTGAGGCTGCTGGGACCATTGTGCCAGGAGTAGAGAAGGGCTGAGAGCCCATGTGGGGTCATAAAGCTCGGAGAAGAAGACCGAGTTGGGGCAGAGAGTCCAGTCCAAGGGGGATCGAGGCCTCGGAGAGAGTCTGCGGCGGAGGTTGGCTGGGGGTCTTGTGTGTGTTGAAGGTCTGGTGGGTCTGATGCCCATGGACCTGATGCCCGTGGACCTCGACTGTGTTACAGGGGAACCCTGAAGTGGCCAGACGGGCGGAATCACGTGGGGGATTTCTGCCAGGGCCTGGAGCACGGGTAAGGCTGGGGCTGACACAGGACTGTGTGGTGGGCAGGCAGAGAGTGGTTTCCACCCCTCTCCACTGTCACCAGCCGGGCCCCATCCTACATTCCCAAACCTCAAGCAGAAACTTGGAGGCCATGTGGTCCAGCTCCACTCATTGTCCTAAAGGGGAAACTAGGCCTGAGGAGGGGGGCAGGTCATGGAGGGAGTGGTCCAGGGCCAGAAGGCCCTCCCAGAGTGCATGGGGGTTGGGGTGGAGTTGGGGTATCCTGAGGGGCTCTTGGGAACAAGATGGGGCTCAGCACCTCTCAGATTCTCCCCATCGTCTGAGAAGGCCCCTTGGAAGAGCAGGGACACTCCTGGGCATGGAGGGGGTGTGACAGGTGTCTTGGGCCAGGGCTGTGGCCCCAGTGCTGACTTCCCTCCCTGCCCACCCACACTGACAGCTTTGGCATCCGCCTGGTGCCCCAGGCCTCCGAGGATAAGTTTGACTGTTACAAGTGCCACTGGCGGGAAGGCAGCATGTGCGGCTATGGCATCTGTGAGTAAGTGACCCTTGGCCTGATGGTAGGACAGGCTCGTGGGACAGGCTCGTCCTCTGGGAGGCAGGGCCAGCCATTGGTGACCCTCCGCAGGTACAGCACCAGCGAGGTGTACAAGGGCTACTTTCAGGAAGGCCTGCGGCATGGATTTGGGGTCCTTGAGAGCACCCCGCAGACCCCTCAGCCCTGCAGGTACACGGGCCACTGGGAGAGGGGCCAGAGGAGTGGCTATGGCGTCCAGGACGACGGCGACAGGCGAGTGCTCTGCGGCCCCGTACCAGGATTGAGGGGCAGAGGGGCCTCACAGGCCAAATGCCTCAGGGCCCGGGTTCCCTGTCGTCACTGGGTCCGTTCTGTCTGTCCCCCAGAGTCTCTCTGAAGCCCCTCACTTTCTTTCCATTCCCTCGGTTGTTGCTGAGGCTCAGGATGAGGGACCCCGACCTTGACTGCAGGAGCCCCCCCAGCTCTGGCCCCTCCCTGTGCTTTCAGAGAGGAGTTTCTGGCCCCCTCTGATCTGGTCCTATCAAAGGATCACAGCCCTTCCGGGCTCTCTGGGCTGAGACAGAGCCCAGTGTCCTTGGCCCGACATTTGAGGCCTTGCCTGCTCCTCTGACCTCATGCCTGCCATGCCACCTGTGTACCCCCTAGCCTTTTAGACCACTGAACGCCCCCATGTATCTATCGTACACTCCTGCCTCAATGGCTTTGCATATGTTAAATGGCACCCTTACTTACTCCATCTGTCCTTCCTGCCACCTCTCCCGGGAAGCCTGCCAGGATGCCTTCCCCCAGGCAGGCTCCCTTCCTCCTCCACCCTCGTTCCTCCTGCGGGTCCTCACCTCACCTGCCCTATGTCTGACTTGAGTGGATTCAGGCCATGTCATTGCTCCTTATCTGACCCCTGCCCCCACCCCAGTCCCATGCCAGCAGAACACACAGAAGGTGCATGGGAACAATTCTGATCCAACTCTGGCCCTACTCTCTCCTCCCCCAGGGGTGAGCGCTATATTGGCATGTGGCAGGCTGACCAGCGCCATGGCCCAGGGGTCGTGGTCACCCAGGCGGGTGTCTGCTACCAGGGGACCTTCCAGGCAGACAAGATGGTGGTGAGTGCAGTGACCCACGTGTGTCCTGAGCTACCCTTTCCCTGCTCTGGGGGCTCCAAAGCTGAACTGAGACTGGTCAGGGGTGGATGGGACAGGAAGCGGGGTTCCGACGTGCTGGAGGGAGCCAGAACCTGGGCAGGAATCCAGTTCTGCCACCTACCTACCCTGGCCTTGGCCAAGTCCCTGCCCCTCCCAGCCTCAGTTTTCCCATCAGCAGCTCAGGTGAACTACTTATCGTAACGACTCACTAAAATAGCAACAATGAAGTGCATAGTAATGAGGATGCCAGCAGCCTCTACCACCCATGTTTATAGACCCCTAACTGGGTGTCTAGCTCTGGGCTAAGCCTCCCAACATGATCTCATGGGATCCTCCCAGTAGCCCTGGGGTCATGTCATTGTCCCTAGTGTAAAAGTGACAAACGTGAGGCTCAGAGAGGTCAGAGAACCTGCCCACTGTCGCATTCTGTTGAGCGCAGGTTTCCCGTGCCCGGGCATAGCCCTCACCTGCCTCGCCCACACCCTGCCAGGTGCTTGGCACATAGTGCGGCTCTGGCCTGATGGCTGTTACTGATATTGTGGCTTGTTTGTTTATCTATACTTTGTCCTGGAAAGGATTGAAGGAGGAAGAAAAGGTAAGAATAGGCACATAAGATAGATTCAGAAATAAGTAGAACACGAATTGTATCCCATTTGCTTCTGAGCTTCCTGGCAGCCAATGCAGCACAGGAGCCTGATCAGCTCCACGGTCCCCGGGGTCAGTGACAGGGAAGTGGGGATGGTTCAGGAAAAGCCCAGTACTTCCTGAGCTGTAGGTGGGAAGGAAGGGTCCCCCAGGAGGCTTCTTGAGAGAGGCTGCTGGAGGGGAGGAGCCAGGTCCCAGGGTGTCGGTCAAGGTAACCCAGGGTCGAGGTCCATGGGCCTTGTGCTCAGTGCTCAGAAGGCCAGGGGCTGGCATCCCACCTAGGCACAGTCCTGGGAGGTATGGCAGGGCTCAGGACCCTTCTGCCCATGGGTCACTGCCCACCTCCCCTCCCCACCGCCAGTCTTCTGGCCCTTCCTAACCCACTGCTCCTACCCTCCCCGCTTCCTTCCCTAGGGCCCAGGGATCCTTCTCTCTGAAGATGACTCCTTGTATGAGGGCACCTTCGCCAGGGACCTGACCTTCGTGGGGAAGGTGAGAGCCACAGAGACCTTACTCCACTCCCTGCTGAGACCTTGGCTGGGGCCTGTAATCTCCCTGCTTGGATTTAGGGCTGAGGGTAGGTGGAGCAGGTAAGGGAGGGCCTCTCCCATCTCCACTACATCTAGGGGGTGGATACAGTGACGATTCCCTGCTGCGGAGGTGTGATTTGATCGGGTGGGAGTCAAGAGGGGATAGGTAGGCTTGCCTTGGGTGCAGAGGGTGCTGGTGGTCTCCTGGCTGTGTCTCCTCCTGGCCCCCAAGAGAGGGATCCACCCCCTCCACCACCACCATCAGTGCCTTGGGCAGGTGCCCCTGGAGGCATCGTCCTTCAGTATGTTTCTGCCTGAGCTGACCTCGCAGAAGGTATCCCTGCTGTATCCCTGCTGGGGCCTTTGGAAATGTGGGGGCTATTTGACTGGGGGGTACTATGGCATCTAGTGGATGGAGACTAGGAATGCTGTGAATGGAACAGTCGCATGCAGCAAGGAATTGCCCCTCCTCAAGGCCGGTAATGCCTCATGTCCTCCCGAGGTCTCTGCCTACTTCTGGACCCAGTGGTGGTCCTCCCCACTCTGACCTGTGAGTCCCTTCTCTGTCTCCCTCGCCGTTTCCTGCCTCAGAGATGAGCCCCTTGGTGGTGGGCACAGGCAGGGGCTCCTGCAGGGGTGGAGGATTATGAGCCCCTTGGGGTGGGGCAGATTGAATGGATGGTGGGAAGGCCATCCATCAGTTTCTAGCCTCTGTGACCTGGGATGGACAGGCGTGAGGCCTGTCATGATGGGATGGAAGGGCAGCTGGACAGACAGATGGACAGACATCCCTGCATCTGTCTCCCGGCTTCCAGGGCAAGGTCACCTTCCCTAATGGCTTCACCCTGGAGGGCTCTTTTGGCAGTGGGGCAGGGAGAGGACTGCATACCCAGGGTGTGCTGGACACAGCTGCCCTCCCTCCAGATCCAGGCAGTACCCGCAAGAGGTGAGAGACTGACTGTCTGGCCTGTGTATTCTGAAGCCTTTCTGGGGGGGGTGTCTGTGTGTGTCTATGTTTCTACCCTAAAGACTCAGGTCTCATTAGAACGGCTTTTCTGTACCTCCTCTTAGCTCTTTGGAGAGTTCAGAGAGCTCAGGTCACATAGCCCTTGTCAGAGACTCTTGGAATTAAGGGCTATGTGACGGTAACTCCACATGCCACAAAACTGGAGAAAAATACTATGTGTAGGCTTTGCTTAGACCCTGCTTTTATTCTAGGAAGGGTACAAGACAGTTTATGAAACAAAACAAACAAGAATAAGATAGAAAATTAAAGTGTGAGTTGAGCTTACAAGAAAGGGAGGTGCAGATAGGCCTTATAATCAAGCATTAGCCTGGCTCTGAGTTCCCTGGCAGCCAGGGTAAAGAAGGAAACTTACTAAGTGGAATCACTGTCCCTATCCTGGGGTATTTGAGAAGAGGATGGACTTCTTCCCTATGGGGACAGAGTTCTTCCTTGGAAAACCGTTGTTCAAGTGGTGACTCTTACTATGTCTGTTGAGGTGAGGGTGGTGGTTCTAATGGTGCCAGCCAGCATTTCACATGTTGTTTACTTGACACATTGTCCCTGCGTGTTTCTTTTCCCTGACAGCAGGAGCTAGAAGTGGATGGCAAACCCTAGGGGTGTGAGCCCGGGTCGGGTGCAGGTGTAGGAAAATCTATGAGCGTGACATGGGAGAGCAGTGCTCCATTAGACACTGCACCAGACACACACACGGCCAGACCCCTAAGCCTATTGGCTGAGACAGGATCAAGCTCAGGAAGGACCCAGGTGTGGTAGGAGGGAGAGCGGGGTCCCGTGGCGGGGGCATCCTGGGATTTGGGCCCTGGTCTCTCTTAGGCCAAGACCCCACTCTCTGGACTTGGCCTTCAGCTCTCCAGCTCTTTCTGTTTCTTTTCCAGTGCTCTGTGTGCCCCTGTCTCTTTTCTCTACCGTGGAGTAGATTCTCTCTGACCCTTCTCTGCCTCCCGTTTCTCCTCCTGGAGCCTTGGAGGTCAGGCCGCTCTGCATCCCCCACTCCACCCACCCCACCTGGGCCCTGACTCTGGGCCAGGCTGGATATCCCCACCTCTCCAAGGGCTGATCAGGGTCCTGCCCAGCATGGCTCCATCCCTATCCATGTCCCCCACTGCCTCCATCGCAGGCAGCTGGGCCTGGGCGTCTTCCCCGTGGAGAGCCGCTGGCAGGGCGTCTATGGCCCCTTCCAGGACTTTGTTCAAGCCGGCTGCCCTGGAGACCTGCAGGAGGCCCTGCTGGGCTTCCACGTGCAGAGCTCAAGGGAGCTGCGCAAGTCCCAGGAGTACCTGTGCTGCGAGAGGTGAGGCCCAGGCATGCGTGGGCGTGTGTACCCATAGGGCATCCTGAGCTCAGTGTTGGGGTCAGTGGGGCTCTGAGTGGGCCAGGGGAGGAAGGCTTCCCAGAGAGGGCAGGCCTGGGCGTGGGTGAGAGACGTGTGTGTGTGTGGTGCCCCAGGACCCACCCCGAGGACCACGCAGGCAGAATGGAGGACATCCTGGAGGAGCTGCTGCAGCACCGGGCGCCCGAGGCCCTGCAGCAGTGCCTCAGGAAGGTAAGGGCTCCAGGGGAGGGTGCTGACCAGAGGGGACAGGCCTGCCTGTGGGCCCTTGCTGAGAGTGCCTCGGTGCTCCCATTGAAGAAGTGGGGTCCTGCGTGGGCATGCTGTGCTCCAGCCCACGGTGCTGAGTATCTCTTTGTTGCCTTTGCACCTGCCCAGGCCCTGAGCAACTCTCTGCATCCCCTGGGAAAGCTGCTCCGGACTCTGATGCTGACCTTCCAGGCCACATACTCAGGCATTGGGGCCAACAAGCACCTGCAGGGGCTGGCACAGGAGGAGGTGAAGCAGCACGCCCAGGAACTCTGGGCCGCCTACAGGTGAGCTTGGTGGTACATGGGGACAACCACTGCACTGTGACCCCAGAGCGGGGTGTGGGGGAAGCTCTGCCCTTTCCAAGCATCAGCTCTGCCTGGTGCCCTGGATAGGAAGGGTGCCTTTGCCTTGGGTCTGGATTGAGAAAGAAACAGAGGGTGGGTTGGTTAATATGCAGCTGGTGAGCATAGGGGTTAGAGGGTGGGGAGGTGATAGCAAGCCCTGACTGCAGCCAGAGTCCAAGCCCCAGCCAGGCCCCGGGCTAGCCCTGACCCCAGGAGAACTCTAACCCCACTGCAAACGGAGCCTGACCTGGGCTCAGACACCATCTCCCGTCCTGTCCCGGCTGAGCTGTGACCTCGTCAAACGCTATAAACTGAAACCTTAGATGCTGCAGTTAGTGCTGTGGTAGGGTTCCAGGACACTCAGGCAGACATCCCGTACTCCCAACCTCCTCGCTGCTGGGGTTTGGGCCACTGGGCTCTGCAGTCCTCAGGCTCCATGGTTCTGGGGGTGGAGCCCACCTGCCTGGCCTTTGGTGACTCCCATCCTGTGGGAGATGGCAGCCACGCTGCCCCTCCCTTTGGTTTGCAGGGGTCTGCTGCAGGTTGCCTTACAGTGCAAGGGCCAGGTCCCAGAGGAAGATCAAGATGCAGAGACAAGGTGACTGCCGCCATTAGGTCTGTGGGGTTCTCTGCCCTGGTGCAAGCAGCCAGGCTCGGGTCCTGGGAGTCCGTATACCTTTGCTTCTGGGTCCTCCTTCGGGGGAAAAGGGTATTTCTTGGGAAGTGTTAGGGGTTCATGCTATTGACCAAATATTGCTCATTGACCATTCAAGAATCAGAATGATCCATGACCTCTCTTCCTTGAGCAACCTGGGGAGGGGCCCTGCCACAGTGCATCAAGTGCGTCTTTGTTCTAAACGTGTTATCCCACACTCATCTCTTGGGTGTATGGCGGGTGAACACTGCCTCAGGCACCTCCTTTTCCCTGTGCACAGATGTGGAAACTGAGGCCTGGCAGGGGCTGAGCCTGAGGTCACACAGAGCAGGAATTAAGTGGGTCATTAAATCTGTCTCCCCAGTCCCCCGAGACCAAACCTTACAATTTGCCTTCAGATTCCAGGCCCAGAGATCCTGATCAGAGAGGTCTTTCTGTTACTGCATTGAAGGAGGCATGGGAAATGGGGTTAGACATTAGGGAGAACTTCCCCCTGAGTCCTAGGAAGCACAGAAAACTAGGAGGCAGAACTGGACTAGCTTGGAACGGCTGCTGAGAGCTTTGCTGCAGGTCACTCATCTATCAAGGCCCTGGTTTTGCTTTCAATTAAATGGGGATCAAAATTCTGCCTCAGCTGCCATATTGGTTCTCAAAGTCAAGTGAGAGTGTGAGGTAGTCACAGATGACAATTGGTTGTGAAATGACTGAGAACAGGCTGGGAAGGGTTTTCTCCGGGATGGAGGAGGCTGGAGGCAGGAACACTGTGGCGGGACGAGGAGTTCTGTGGACTCTTTGAGGGGCAGCCCAAGTAGATCCCCACGCCCACCCTGCTGACCCTGACCTGTCCTGGTGGCTCTCACTCAGGGACCTGCAGGTGCACAGATTGATGCTACCCCTTGTCCTGCCCAGCTTCTACTCGGAGCTCTTCACTCTCTACCTGCTTCTTCATGAGAGGGAGGACAGCCTCTACAGCCAGGGCATTGCCAACCTTAGCCTCTTCCCCGACACCAAGCTGCTTGAGTTCCTGGATGTACAGAAGTAAGCCTCCCTACCATGCCACGATTGCCAGAGTTCTTGTGTAGCAGAGGGTACAAACCCAAATTGTCTTCAGCAAAAAAGCGGGGAGGTTAATTGGCTCGTGTACCCATGAAGTTCTAAGGTGTGGCTAGATTCAGGTGTGGCTGGATCTGGGTGTCCAGTTGCATGATAAAGGAAGCAACTTCTCTCATTCTCTGTTGGGCTCTCTGGCTCCCCCCGTATGGTGACAAATATGGTACCAGCCACTCGAGGTTTATATTCTCCCAGCTCAGGCCCCACAGGGAGCTGGTGTCTCCTTCCCAGCAGCTCCAGAGCCTCTGAAGTTCCTCCCGGGCTTGGCTGGGGTCTTGAATGTGTCCCTGAATGCTGGCTGTGGCCCAGATTGGCCAGGCTGGCCTCAATATCTACCACTGGGGCTGGGGCAAGGTCGCCTGCTCCCAGCTCTTGGACTGAGAGTGGGAGAGGGGAGATCCTCAAGGGGAAACTGAGGACTGTTCCGGAAGTAGGTCAGAGCCTCCCTTCCGCCCTCAGTCATCAAAATGTTCTTTCTCCTTCATGCCCCTTTGATCCATTGATACTACCAGTGTTGAGGGCATGAACGCACTCTCTCCTCCCACACCTGGTTTCCTTTGTCTCAAGGTGATGGCGCTTCCCATTCCCCTTCCTGCCGAAAAACCTTGTTTCCCCTTCCGATGTGGTGAATGTTTCCTGTATCTGACCAGGCACCAGCCCAGAGACCTGGTTGTCCATGGCTTTGCAAGAGTCCCTCCTCCCCACCCCTCCTGCTGCCTCAGTGCCGCCTCCTCCATGCTGGCCTCCCTGCTCCATTGGCTCTACTTGCCTTGCGTGGCATCCCTACTTCTCGCCAGCCTGGGCCCGCTCACTGAGCCCCTGGAGCAGTCTCTACCACTGAGCTCTCTGGCCTGACCCCCAGGACTTTGCCCAGGAGGGTCCCCTGGCCTGCAGCACTGCCCCTCTGTCTCCTCATTGTGTTCCAGTCTCGCTCGTGTTTTGGGGCTGCATGGAGGGCTGCCCTCTCAGGGAATCCCTCCTGCCCTCCTCTTGCCTGGGCTTCACACAAGCGTTCCCAGATGCCATTGTGCATCCCCTGCCCCTCTCCCCTGCTCAGCCCTCCTGGGGGACATGGAGGTGCAGGGAATTTGCCCTCTGACCTCAGACCCCGCACCCTGGTCCTGGCAGAGCTTCCCACCTTCCTTTAATTTCAGGCACCTGTGGCCCCTCAAGGACCTCACGCTGACGACCAATCAGGTGAGAATGTGGGCCCATTACCTGCCCAGGAGAGGGAGGTCTGAGCCTGAGCTGGGCCCCCAGGTTTGCCCAGGCTTCCGAGCAGCTCTCTGCCTCATGGTCACTGGTCAGAAGCTGCATAGGCGGGTGAGGGAGGATATGGTAGGCTTTCTGCACTGTTCTGATTTCCCATGTGGATGAGTGTACAGCCACAGTGACCAGGTTCAAGCTTAGGTTCCACCCTTGTACTGGCTGTACGACCTTGGGTGAGATGCTTGATCTCCGTGCCTCAGTTTTCCCATCTGTGGAAGTAGTCCCTGATGCGTACTAGCACTACCTCCTGTGGTTGTTGTCGGGTGGTGTGGGCCAGAACATGAGGGGCGTTGGTTCTCAGTGTGTTTGCTGGATCGGCAGCATCCGCGTTGTCTGGGAGCCTGTTAGAAAAGCAGATTCTTGAACCCATCCCAGACCTACTGAGTCAGAAACTCAGGGAGTGAACTTGGAATTTGTGTTTCAACAAGCCCTGGGACTGAAGAACCATTGACATAGAACTGGGCGGCACCCAGTGACCATTGGCTGTTATGATTCTTATCTTCTTTTTCCATTTTGATCCTCCCAGCCTCCTGGAGACCATTTACCCCACTTTACAGTTGAGTAGACTGAGGCTTACAGTGGATCTGTGACCTTCCCTGGGTCACTTAACCCTCTGGGCAGAGCTGTCCTGAAGCCAGTGATGGGGAAGGGGGTGGGTGGTGAGGGGCTCGGGGGCCAGCCCTGACCCTGGGAAGGAGGAGGTGACGGAGCTGGGGGGCTGCGGCCTCATCTAACCCACTCCCCCAACCACGCAGAGGTATTCCTTAGTCAGAGACAAGTGCTTCCTGTCAGCCACGGAATGTCTGCAGAAGATGATGTGAGTCCACACCCCGGGAGGGTGGGCGTGGGTGGCAGGAGTGTTGGGGCCCCTGGTTGGGACTGAACCTGAGGGCCTTGATCTGGAGCCGGCTACCCTCCTGCAGCACCACGGTGGACCCCCGGGAGAAGCTGGAGGTGCTAGAGAGGACATACGGGGAAATTGAGGCCACTGTGTCGCGGATGCTCGGCCAGGAGCACAAGCTGCCCATGGACGACCTGCTGCCGCTGCTCATCTACGTGGTGTCGCGTGCCCAGTGAGCCCCAGCTGGGGGTGGGCTGCAGGAGGTTCCCTTCCCACCCTGCCCACCCCCAACCAAGACATACTCCAAAGTCTTTGAACATGGGGGTTTATGGACACAGCCTTTCTTGGTACACATGGGGAAGCTGAGGCCCAGAGAGGCCCACCCAGGGTCCTGTGGGTGCCAAACTCAGAGCGGGGACCAGGTGTCCAGCCACCCAGGCCAGAGCTCCTTCCCTGCTGCTGGATGCGTGTCCCTGATAGGTCCCCTCTTCCCTCTCGTTGTGGTGGCGGTGGTTCTCCAGAATCCAGCACCTGGGAGCCGAGATCCACCTGATCCGTGATATGATGGCCCCTATCCACACAGGAGGCCTGTATGACTTCTTGCTCACGGCCCTGGAGGTGAGGGACAGAGGCGGTGGGCCAGGCAGAAATGCCCTGGCCACTGGGGCAGACCCCTTTCACCCCAGACACCATCACGGGGATAAGCTCAAATTCACAGCTTCTGTGTGTCTCCATGGGAAGGGTCCTCACAGAGCCACTGCTCTTGCCCTTGTTAAAAGGGGCTGGGTGGGGGGAGGTGGGCACAGTGCATCCCGGCCCTCGGATCCCCAGGGCTGAGTGTGTTCCAGGCTGCATCCCTGAGCACAATAGGAGAGGGAAGGAGCCATTTCCTTGCAGACTGTGGCTGAGGGCTGAGTTGGAGACACAGTGGTCCAGGCCCGGGAGGTGGGTGCACCCCAGTGTCAGGCCCTAGAGCCTGTGCATGTGGCTGAAGCGGGCAGGCCAGCTGGCTTCAGCCTCACCTCTCTCCCGCCAGTCCTGTTACGAGCACATCCAGAAGGAGGACATGAGGCTGCATCGCTTGCCCAGCCGCTAGAACTCCAGGGAGCCGTGGTAGCTCAGCTTCTCCTGGACAAACTGCAGAGCTGAGAGGGGCCGCCATGGAATTCCCGTGGAGTGAGCGTGGCCCACTCTGGCCCTTGTGGCCCACAGGACAGAAGGCAGGATGAGCCCTGGAGGTGGCTCTTGGGGGAGATGAGCGTTTAATTTCTCGCAGGGAGATGCTGCTGCTGTCCTGACTGGGAGGAGGGTGAGGGTGATGGGTGTGGCCCCAGAGCTGGTGGTTTCCCCTCCCCCTGCCCCCTGCCACTCTCTAGGCCAGCCTTGGATGACCTTCTTGACCAGCAGCAGCTCATGGACTGGGGGCAAGGAGCTCCTGGCCTCTCCTTGCCTCATCCTTGCCTCCAAGTTATTGAGCCTCTCTGGGCCTCAGTGTTGCCATCTGTAAAATGGTGGACTACATGATCTGTAAAGGGCCTTCCATCCATCTTGCTGACTTCTGGCGTCCTTCCGTAAGTCTGACTTTGGTCTGTTGGGCTGTAACTGAAGTTCTTCTGTCTCGGGTGGTGTCATTCCATTTCTCCTCTCCTGGTCAGAGGCTCCAAGCTGCTAGTGACAGCTCCGTTTATTGGGCTTTTTTCCCATGAGTTGTCTCCTGTGGACCTGCCTTCTTCCCGACTGCCCCAGGGCAGAGCTGGCCTCTCAGGGCTGCAAGGCAGGAACAGCTCCACCTCCGCCCTGACCTGCTGGGTGGCCTCTGGCAAGGCCCTTCCCCTTGCTGGGTATGCAATTGAGAGCGTGGGCTTGGGGGTCTCTGAACTACAGTCCGCATATCATGGCCATGCTGGAGCAGGCTGGGGGCAGGGGAGGAAACACACCTTGCTTGCCTCACTGCCAGCAGGTGCCAAGGGAATTACACACCTATGACCTCTGTGGGCCTGCGTGCAGGAGGGACAACGGAGGCACAAGGTTGGCCTATGCCCTGACTGATAAGCACCTCTGGCTCAGGACCCCAACAGGAGTTGGGGAGGGAGGCATTGGGAGCTCCTTTGCCTTTGGGAGGGGAGGACTTTATTTAAATAGTGGTTCTAATGTGGAACCAAAAAACACAGAACTGGGTCTTGGGGCAGCTTCATCCCTGCCGGGCCTCAGTTTCTCCTCCCCACATGGAGGAGTTTGGGGCAGGTGGCCTGCAGGGGCTCCCCCTGCCCTAACAGGAGATGTGTGACGGTAGGCAGGGCGACTGTGTTCTGAAGTGGTCCAAGGGCAAAGCATGGGGAGAGGGTGGGTTTACGCAGGGGCGTAGCCCTGGAGGACAAGCTGGGCCTAGCTGTCAGGCCCATGCCTTGGACTGTAAGAAAATTGGGTCATACATCTTGGCTCTGGGTGTGCCTTCCATAAAAAAACCCTGAGGGAGGCTCCAAGAAAGCCTGGGCCCAAGGCCGAATCCCCAAGGATTTAGCAGGGGGCAATCCAAGGACCCTCAGAGATACTGTGGGGCATTGAGTGGAGAGACTCAGCTGCCTCCATGCACTGCCGCCTCCAGAGGAAGGGGCGGGGTGAGCTTTCCCTGGCTGTTCCGCCAAATGTGACAGCTTGAATGGAGAAAGGTCCTGGGCTCTGGTTTTGCCACACTCCTGTGGTGTCCCCGCAGAGTCCCTGGAAGAGGGTTGAACTGAGGAAAGGTAAGGATATCCAGGCTGCCGTGGGCATGCACCTCACCCAGGACTATGGCAACTCTCCAACAGTTGTCAGGTAGTTCTTGTCCCTTAACAAGTGACAACAGCCTTGCCCAAGGGCAGCCCTGAGTTGGTGCGATGCCGCAGCCTCACTCCAGAGAGCACCGCACACTCCCCGGCTCCATCAGGATCAGTGCACGCTCACCGCAGTGCAGATTCACCAGGACCTTTCACCCATCCTCTTGCTGGGCCTCCCCAACACCTACTGAACTGGGGCCCCTGGACAGGGCTTCAGGAGATTCCCGGGGCAGCTCGGGCTGTTGTGTCAGACCCTTTCAGCACAACCATAAAGCCAGCAGGGGCCTTCGAATTAGACAGCGAATTGACAGCTGAGGTCAGTTCTTCATTTACAGAAGAGATACCTGGAGCCAGGTAACCCCCTGCCGTGTGGGTGCCTGGGGAGGCTGATGGGGATGGCCACCTGCGGGCAGGCGAGTCCCCGCTCCAGTGATGGCCTCCCCCGGCTGCTGCAGGAGCCCCTTCGCTGCAGTGAGAGCACTGGTATCCACTCTGTGAGTCTGGTTGGGAACCAGGAACTCTAGCGCCTCGGGTGATCCGGATGATGTCAAAAGCAGCCTCTGCGCTCTGTCTTTCTGGTCCCCATCTCTTCTCCAGGATGAGAATTCTGCTTTCAGCAGTGATCGTGAGGAAGTGGTAAAATTCTTCACAGTCAATCTCAGTCAGGACTTCATGATCACCAGGGCCAGAGAGGAGAGAGGCCAGGGGAGATGCTTTTCACTGACGGCGTTCTGACAGGCTACAAAGAGCCACACTGGCCCTGCCCTCAAGGACCTGGACTTGGGGCTGAGAAAGACAGAGACACCTGAGAGTTATTAAATGGCCTCTCAGTGAGCAGATGTGTCCGAGTCACACGGCCCAACCCCCCACTTTTCTCCCCCAATGCAGTCCTGGTCCTGCATGCAGTCGCTCATGCAACCTCTCAACCCCTGCTTCCCCCCCACCCTTTACTTCCCTTCAACAGTCAAACCTATCTGCTGCCACCTCCTGCTCTCCAGCTCCTGCCCCTCCTTGTTCTGTCCCCTAGAAATGTCCTTCTCCAGTTCCACTGGGTCCCAGGCTGCTCCATCCTCGCAGGCCCAGCTCTCATGAAGCCCCGTGTCCCGGGGCAGGAGTCTCCCTGCTCCCCAGCCCTTCTCCAGGGCCCCTTCCCTGGCCTCATCACGTTACTGGTGTGTGACTGGTGGGTGCCTGCTTCCCCCCAGTTCGCCAGGCACACGGCTCACTGTGCATGCTAGGCCGAGAGAATGGGGAGCGGATCCGAGTTCTGACCAAGTCTCTTTATTCAGACCACCCCTGAGGGTGCTGGGAGCTAGTGCACAGTTTGGGCGGCCCCTTGCCCACTGCAGCCCCAGAGATGCTGGAAGGAGTCGGGGTGGGGGGTGAGAGAGCAGTCTGAGCAATGCTATGTAACCCGAGCAGGGACCTGAGTGAGGGCCACATGGCCACACCTGTAGGGGCTCCCAGAGGGATGGCTGCTTACTGTGGGGTCAGCAAATGGCAGGGACTGCCCTCCTGTGGGCACTGGGGAAGGAATAAGTTCAGGGTTAGGGTCAAGGTCAGAGTCAGGGTCAGTGTCAGGTTAGGGTTAGGGGTTAGGATTGAAGTGAGAGTGAGAGTCAAGGTCAGGTTCAGGTCAGCTCAGGGTCCTAGTGCAGGTCGGGGCTTTCCTGGTTGGCTTGGTCAAGAGTTGTGCAGAAGTGAGCTCTGGCTTTTATCTCACCATGAGCAAGAACCAGGGATGGGGACCAGGCTGCCAAGGCCTTGATCTGTCCATGACCTCGGCCAAGTCCCCCTAACTGGGTCCTCTGCGCTGTGTGTAAGGAAGGTTGCTGCTAGGCACTATTGTTCTGCCATCCAGGAAGGAGGAGGAGACCTGGAGCGGAGGAGCATATGTTCTGCTCCTGGAGAAACACAGGACTGAGCGGCTAGGTCAGGATGGGGACCAAACCTAGACAGCCTCACTCCAGAGTGCAAGCTCCACCTGGGGGGTGAGCTGGAGCCCAGGAGTCGGGGCCACCTCCCCTCTCCCCACATGCACAGGAGGTGCTTCGAGATGGGCAAGTCTCTCCCAAAGCCACCTCCGCATGTGCCCCTGGATGAGGCCTGCCCCCTCAGATCCAAGGGGGGCTGGCAAGAGACCGGGAGAGGGGGAGGTGGTCCCGTCAGCAGGACCAGGTGGGGGGTGACGGATCCAGCAATCAGTTCAGTGTAGAGCACTAGCTGTGTCTGTAGGAAGCACACAAGAGAAGTTTGGTTTTGTTCTTGTTCTGACAGTAGAGGGAGACCACAGGGCACCAGCAGTAATAAGATGACGCTAAGGGAGATGGTATCAGCATCTAGAAAATTAATCTTATTTTGTCATTTTGGTGGAGGCCATCCTGCCTCCCCAGTCAATAGTCCTCAGTTCAGAGTGTCCCGAGAGTGGGTGTCCAGGACTTGGATCGAAGGCAGTGGTGATGGTCTGGGATGAGGTTGCCAAAGCATTCTGAGATGACAGGCTGGGCCAGGTGTCCTGCAGGTGAGAGCCAAGTCGCTAATGCCCCCCTCCCCAACGTCTCTGACCTTCAGGAGTCCGAGGTGCCCCTTCCCCACCAGCGGAGCAGCTGTCCTTTCTCGGCTGCACGGTCAGTATATGTATGACCTGTCCCTGCAGCACAGGGACTTTACGCTTTTAGAAGTCCTTGCCATTTCTTACTCCGGCTGGATTCATCCCTAGGAGATTGCTGTGTGGCATCCCTGAACGTGGTGGCCATGCTGGCAGGACCACCTTAGGAGCTGTCACCTCACACTCATGCTCATTATCAGCGATGTCCACAATTGCCTGATCCAGCAAGCATAGGCATGAGGTAAGGGAAGCCCCAGGCTTGTCATCTCAGAATGTTTTGGCAACCTCGTCCCAGACCATCACTACTGCCTTCAGGAAACCAGGCTATGGGACCTGTGGGGGCAGAGCAGAGCTGAAGGTGGGCACAGGAGGGGAAAAGGGAAGCGGGAGAAGGCTCGTTACCTGAAAGGTCCCATGAGTGCCAGATAGTTGTCTGCTGTTGGCACGCGTGACCATGAGGGTGGCATCACCGTCTGACTGGACGTGTTCAGGGAGTTCAAATATGTAGCAGCACATTTAGGAGTTCTCAGATGGTATGGCCTGCGTTTGCTCTGCAAGTGGGAATTGTTGTGTTGTACCCAGAAAGGGTCTCACTGTAGTCAACACCCAGTGGTACCCCTGGGACAAGGGTAAAGGGTTTCTAGAGTCTATTTGCCAGGACTGGCCAGGTCTAGTGCACTGGACCGTGCACCCCAGAGTTCCCTTTGTCACTTGCTGGTGGAGCTGCCAGTCAGGCACATTAGCCAGGCTTCCTTGGCCTCAGGTGCTGGCATTGCCATGCCCTTTGTGATGATGTATCCAGGTGGCTGTGGTCTTTACCTGTGTGATGCAGAATTGGTCAGCATGTCGGTTCCAATGATGTTCATTGCCAAAGCATCATTTTCCATGGGTCATGGACAGAGTGCATGGGTCCTGTGCAGTCTGCTGCCACAGTGTTTGTCCCTAAGGGGCTGGGATTCGATCCCGGTTGTTCGGTTGTCAGGTGCTACACTGATGTCCATTGGCTACTGGCTGCAAGTTGGTGAAAATGTAACAAGATGTGTTCAGTGGGTGTCTTCCAGGACAAGCACCAGTCTGCACCTCTGTCCACGGGCAGAGTTTTTTCCTTTCTACATGCTTTGGCTTTTTTCTGTGGCTGCCCAGCCGCAGTGGACCGTTTAATATAACTGGGCTGACTGTGCGTCGGGCCCAGGCATCCTCTGGTACCTTGGTGTACTGAAGACCCCATGTCTGAGGTTCACCCATTCATGCAGGTGAGAGAGTCCATTGATGGCTGGTTTACTTCTTTCTTGGGTGTACCAGTTTCATTTAATAACAGGTGCTTGCTGGGCAGGGCCCACTTTATCCCATAACACATGTGCCAGGGAGGAGCAACACAAGGGGAGCTGGTCTCTCATCGTCCACCTATGCCCAGTTAGAAGCCAAGTGAATTGGCCCTCACATGGGGTATGCTGAGCCGTGACTGTCAGGCAACTGCCACTCAAAACACCAGGGGTCGCCTTTGCTGCGTGTCAACTTCCTTCTGCCCCAGGCTCCAGGTTGCGTATCTCAGTCCCCCACACTGTCATTGGAAAGGCTCTTTAGGACAATTGGCCTGAGCGGGAGGCAGTCTGTACAGCCTGCTGATTGTTTTCTTTAAGCACTTCTGCGTCCACAGCTTTTTAGTCGGTGTGTGGTGATCTCCTTCCCCGTCCACCCTTGTCTTCTAAACTGCTTTACTGCTACCATGTGGCTGGGCCGGGGAGCCTGGAGGGCACCTGTTGGGCACCAGTCCCAATGTCATTGTCCTGACTGTGGCCTTTCCCCAATGGCAGCATCCCTCACAGTAAGAAGTAGTTCTCATCCTAAAATCTCTATTTCCGCAAGGCATTATTCAGCAGGGTCAGCTACCTGGGTGTGTGGAATGTCCACCAAATGAAACAACACAGGTTAGTTTCAAGCACGTGGTAGGGCCAGTGTTGGCTGAAACGGCACCTTTGTAACCTAAAAAGGACAGCCTAAAGCACTATCCTTGCCTGGAGAGGAGTGGCCAGAGATCTCATCAGGAGCATATAGGGCCACAGCCCCATGGAGTGTGCCTTTTTTCCCTGTTAAGACAACCTTCTGACTGGAGTTACAAATCCAGCACACAGTGATAGCTTCTACCTCAGAAACATAGGTTCCTCCACCTTGTGAGGGACAGCAGTTCTTTTCTTGCTGCCCGAGGGAGGCACCCCCTTCTCAGAGTTCTGGGTTCCTTCCCCATAGGGCCCGTCTTCCAGGTTTCTATATTTTCATATCTTTAGCCTCCCCCATTTCTTCCTCCAGCCCTAGGGAGAGGAAGCTGCTTTATATAACTGTTCGAGCGTTCTTTTTTTTGCCTTTTTAGTTCTTCAGTTGCTGGGTGTGGTAGGCAGAATAATTGTTCTCCGAAGATGTCCACAGCCTAATCCCTGGAAGCTGAGAATAGGTCACCTTACATGGCAGAAGGGACTCTGTAAATGTGGTTAAGTTGAGGACCTTGCAATGGGGAGCTGATCCTGGGTTATCTGGGTGGGTTCAATCTAATTATGTGGGTCCTTAGAAGTTGAGGAGGGAGGCAGAAGAGAATCAGAGGGAGATGTGACCACCGAGGAATGGCCCGGGAGATGGCAGTGTTGGAGCACGGGAATGTGAGAGACTCTAGAAACTGGAAAAGGCAAAGAAATGGATTCTCTCCTAGAGCTTCCAGAAAGGAACACAGCCCAGTGAGAGCCGTGTTGGATTTCTAACCTACAGAACTGAAAGAGAATGCATTTGTGTTGTTTGAAGTGACCAAATTTGTGACAATTTGCTCTCGCAGCAATAAAAAACACATAACTGGTTAATGCTTTTATATTAAATCCTCTTTGTTAATATAACTGGTGAGGTTTCATCCTCCCTGCCCTGGGCTAATTCAGAGACTCCCTCCAACTCCCTCACGTCCTGCATATTCCTGTCACTCCAGATAGTGGGCCGTGTGCGCTCAGGGCAGATCCCATCTCTCCCGCCTCTATCTCTCATGCTGGGTGGCTCTGACATGCAGGAAATTCTTCCCTCTGATGAGCCTCTGTGTGTCTCTAATCTTGTGTGTCCTATAACTGGCCCCTGGATGGCACAGACCCCACAGGATTCCCAGGCTCCCAGGAAGCTAAGATTCTATTCCCTCCTTGCTTGTGACATCTTCAACTTATAAAGTACCCTGTCATCATGTAGGGCCTCCCCAGAGTTGGGGCTTTTGGCCCCAAACCCTCTTCAGCCTTTCACTTTAGACCCTTCTGGTCATGTAGACCCAACTCACTCAGGGCAGGTAACAAACCACATGCCCTCCAGTTCTCTCTCATAAAAAGGGATGGTGTAGCTTCCTCCACAGACCACAAAAACAAGCACCAGATAAACTGAATAGTTAAAAGGTAAAAATAAAACTAAATATATTAGAAGAAGAGATGGCAGAATAAGTCCCCAAATTAGTATGTGAAAGACCATTTTATTTAAGGATGAACATGAACTCCTGTTGATGCTGCCTAATGGTTTTGGGGACCAAATTAAAATAGTAGACCACCTGGTAGACTGTACCAACTATCAGTGCATAGGCTAGAAAATTCATTCAAGAAGTGGAGGGTAAAATGAAGTTCTTGTAAATAGATAATAGATCTAATGTTGGTGAGCAGAATATCCAAGATGACCTTGAAGTTTCAGGAACTGCTGACTGAGCATGGCTGTGCCCCTGGTATACTAGAGAACAGAGAAAAAAATCTTTGTTAATTGAGAAAGAGAAATTATAAATTTGGCTTTGATTCACTGTCTCTATAAAAATGGTGATTCATCTTCATGTGTCTGTTACTCGTCTATTTGAGAGCCATGAGTTAAATCTTTGGAATGCTTATTGGCTCTAGGACCTGTTTTACTCCTTATCCCTTGCAAGATGTTCTTATCAGGACTCAGCAGAAGACTAATATAGCACTTGGGGGCAAAGATTCAGCCTAGTAGTCCTGCACTGGAGGCCGAGATGGAAAAGATCTCCATGGCCACCATGGTGCTGTGATAGACAGGGAAGGATGTGACCCAGACACTGCAGAACACCAGCATGCTTGAACTTGACTTCATTGAAGGTGTCAGGTAGATTCCTGGCCCAGAAAGCCACAGCAGTGCTCCCCAGGGTCAAGGATCCCATATATCCCAGGACACAGTAGAAGGCAGTGACAGAGCCCTTAATGCAACCAGTGATGTGTGTAGGGTCAGAGTGCGTGTTTATTTCAATGAAAGGAGAGAGTCCCAATCTGGTTCTAGATAGTGACTTGGATCAAGGCACAGATGGGAAGGACAGAGTCAGGTGCTCCTGATATCAACCACTGCCTCATCCTTTTCCCTTATGTTTTGAAAGCCAAAACCACAGAAATGATTTTACCCAAAACAGTGGAAATAGCCACAGTAAACACAAATGCAAATGTTGTTTGCTGAGGTATGCAAATGCCTGTGTTGGGAAGGCCAATGGAGAGTAAGAAAGAGAGGGAACCCAGGAAGAGGGAGGTGAGCAGGATGTAGCCGTGGGTTGGATGTTGGCCTTGATGATGGGAGTGTCTGTGCTTCCCAGAGACCCCAAGGACCACAGCTGTGAGAACAGAGAAGCACAGAGCAGTGCAGGCCAGAGCCATCCTCAGTGGGTCTTGATAAGGTAGGGAAGTCACTTTCTTTGGGAGACAGTGGTTTTGATTTGGGTTTGGGTACTGATGATCTGGACACCTCACACACTGGTGTGTACCTGACAAGAAGAGAAAAGATGTGCAGTGTCTCCAGTTCAGGGACTCCTACTAATTCCCAAGAAAAGGAGTCCCCTTTGGGAATTTTGGACATATTGTCCATCCTGATGCACATTCAGACAATAGCAATGAAATTTACAATTTTCCATTGATGCTGTCTAAAGGTTTTTGGAGAAAATGAAAACTTCTGTCACTTATCATTTCCTATGTGTAAGGGAGCTATTTTGTTTCTTTTCACAGGGAAAGTATTATAGATTCTTAGAGATATAAATATTATATCTTCAGGTTATGTCCCGGATCACAATGTTTCCCCACCTTAGGTGAGTAATTTATTCTTGAGAAACATGTTTTTACTGAGGATTAGATAAGTTTAAGGAATGACTGTTGGTTTTGTTAGGTGTGATAACTTTTTACTAGTTATATGGGAAAATGTCATATTTTCAGAGAACTTTTCAGAGAAACCTAAGGAATGAATGTCAATATATCTGTAATTTACTTTCAAAAACATTTGCGGAACAGTAATAAGTGAAGCAAACATGGCAAATGTTAGCAGTTAAAATTTTGATCACATATATACGCATATTCATTATACTTTAAATTTGAAAATGCTTATAACATAAAGATCAGAAGAGGAAAAAAACCATAAACATCATTTGGGGCAAATTCTCCTAAGTTAAAAGCATAATTAATTTTAATTTCAGTGGAAAATTGTTAATTCATTCCAGAGCCCCAAATTTAAGCACTGAGTTAAAATAACACAAAATTCCTTTAAAAGTAGGCACACAGTTATTCCAGGTTTTAATGTTATCTGTCATAAACTGACATAATAAGACAGGCTCGCTTTTATTAACTTACATCTGTCTACCTACACTGCTTCAAGTCCTTTGTGTCTCTTACATATTATACACCTAAATTTCTGCTTATAAATTATGCACTTGATAATCAGTGTATGTTACTTGAGTCTTTCATCCAAGAATCCATCCGAAAACATAGGATAGAATTAAAAAGTCTACAAAAATAATGTTAATAAAGCACCAAGATTGCCACCACAGGAAACCAGCAAACCAGGAGTAAATCAATGAGACATGCTTTTTTTTTTTTAAGTGGAGTAGAGTTGTTTTACAATGTTGTGTTAGTTTCTACTGTACAGCAAAGTAGAGTTCCCTGTGCTATATAGCAGGTTCTCATTATTTATCTATTTTAGGCATATTAGTGTATATAAGTTAATCCCAATCTCCCAATTCATCCCATCCCCCTTTTCCCCCCTTGGTGTCCATACGTTTGTTCTCTACCTTGCAAACTGGTTCATCTGTACCATTTTTCTAGATTCCACAAATATGCTTTAATATACGATATTTGTTTTTCTCTTTCTGACTTACTTCACTCTGTATGACAGTCTCTAGGTCCATCCACGTCTCTACAAATGACCCAATTTCGTTCCTTTTTATGGCTGAGTAATATTCTGCTGTATATATGTACCACATCTTCTTTATCCATTCGTCTGTTGATGGACATTTAGATTGCTTCCATGACCTGGCTATTGTAAATAGTGCTGCAATGAACATTGGGGTGCATGTGTCTTTTTGAATTATGGTTTTCTTTGGGTATATGCCCAGTAGTGGGATTGCTGGGTTATATGATAATTCTATTTTTAGTTTTTTAAGGACCCTCCATACTGTTCTTTATAGTGGCTTTATCAATTTACATTCCCACCAACAGCGTAAGAGGGTTCCCTTTTCTCCACACCCTCTCCAGCATTTATTATTTGTAGATTTTCTGATGATGCCCATTCTAACTGGTGTGAGGTAATACCTCATAGTAGTTCTGATTTGCATTTCAGTGAGACATGATATTGATCCCTCCATCCCCCTCTGTCCTCACTGAAGCTCCTTTAAGGAGAAAGATTCTTAGGGGCGGGGCAGAGGTCTCCCTTTCCCCAAGAGGGATCAAAGGCTATACACACCTCTCCAAGTATGCTGGGGAAACTCAGAGAAGGGAAAGACTTAATCTTTCATGGTTCTGTTGGATACAGACACCTGTGTCCATCCTATCAGGCCTGTAGGTGACTTGTATCTTGGGGGTGTCATAAGAGACCTTTGAGTGCTTAAAGAAACACCACCAGTGGCTCCTGTAGCCCTCAGACAACTGCCAAGAGCTCTTCAAAATGAGGCTACTCACTATGTATGTGCACCCTGAGGGCATTTTCCCCGCAATGGGAATCGTCCAATTAGAAAAGGTGGTGTGAAAATTTGTCCCTGATTTCAGCTGAAGTGACCAACGACACCACCTCGGCTCTGGAAGGCATTCAGGGCAGCCTCAGCTCACAGGCCACGGTTGTTACGGATGACAGAATCTGCCTAGGCTTCCTCCTTACAGAAGAAAGTGGGGTCTGCAGTCACTAATACACCCTGCCCATCTGGATTAATGCCTCGGGCCAAGAGGAAAGGTCAATATGGAGACTTAAGGGGAAAGCCACCTGGCTTTCTAGAGTACAAATCCGTCATGGTTGGTGGGATTTGTTCAGCTGGCGGGATCCTGGACCCTGGGGTACATGGTTGAGTCAATACTGTAGGAGAGTTTCATCCTGCAGCTTGAGGTCCCGTTCACAGTTGGCTTAATTAACTGCTGTGTGAATCAAACGAAATGCATTTGGCTGGCCTGTCAGTCAGATGTATCAGATCAGGAATAAATTCTTCTAAACCCTTTGCATGATTCTTTCCAAAAAACTATTCTATCTCTCTCGTTTGTGGGTTTTACTTCCCTCGGTTCGTTCTCTGCCTTCTTTGTATCCCTCCCTCTTCTTGTCCTAAGTCTTCCGTAGACTCTGGAGCTGTCCTCCAAGATAGCCTTCTGGGGCTGGGAGGATCTGAATGGGGCCACTGTCATGAACAAGGGGCAGGGACCACCCATCAGTAAAGTGACTCAGGGCATACATATACAATTATGTTCATATGGCTTCTCTTCTACCAGCAGAGAAGCCACAGAGCACACCTAGAGGTGGGCTCAGGCCTGGCACAGATGGACTGGGCACATGTGAGAAGGTTCCAGAAGCACCACACCCCTGTAATGCCCTTCATTTTATAGG